TTTTTTTTTTTTTCGCGCACGTGCACGTGCACCACTCTCTCGCGCATGGCGCACAGCGCCCCGCGCCGCACACTGCATGCCGTACCAGTGCGCCGCAACTATGATATATACACGTGAGGCATCCTGGGCATCCTGCCTACAAGTAGCCAAATTTTCGGTATAGACTCGTTTATAGACTCGTTAGACTCTATCCCATGGTTATGCCAGACCCGTACACCGGGGCCAGTCCAGACGTCCGGCCGGACCTGTGTCTGGACTGCTCCAGACTGTCCGGATTGAAAACCCCCTTCAAAAAAAAAACGTTTTTATTTTTTCCCTTGGATTTGGCTATGAATTTTCGAGATGGTCCTCAGCCAAAAGATTTGTGTATTTCAATGCTGCATAACTTTTTTTTTTTTTCAGATTTTTTTTTTTCAGTTTTTTATAAGTCGGATTTTGTTTCGGGGTGGGGGTGGGGGGATGGATCTGGACACTCTGGACTCAAAGTTGTCACGTCAGCTATACCAAAAGATTTGTGTATTTCAATGCCTTTGCTTATTGCTTCTTCTTCTTCTTCTTCTTCTTCTTCTTCTTCTTCTTCTCCTTCCTCGCCCAAAATTCATTCTTTTCTTGTTGTTGGTTCTCTTTCCTGCTGTTCTTTGTCTTGATGGTACTTTTTGGTGTCATAAAAAGGGAGTTCCCTTGGGTCTTTTCTTTTGCATCCATTGCAGCAATCAACTGTCCCTGGTACTTGACAATGGCGGCAAAACATGGAAAGATATACCTTTCGACGTTCTTCGGGTACCACAATATCGAGGTTGATTCCTGTCCCTCAGTTAACCCCTTGCTCCTCCGTAATCCCTTCCCTTAATCACTTGATCCCCTTGCTCTTAAGAATCACTTGATCCTTGCCCTTAATCCCATAATCCTTGCCCTTAATAATACCTTAATCGTTGCGCTACCTTTCAACATTCTTTGGGTACCCCACATTATTGGTTGAGGTTGATTTATATCCTCAAGTAAACCCTTAATCTCTTTGCCGCTGCCCTTAATCCCATAATCCTTGCCCTTAATAATACCTTAATCATTGCCCTACCTTTCAACTTCCTTGCCCTTAATCACTTAATCCTTTGACCTTAAACCACCAGTACGTTCCCCAGTTATAAAATCAAAGTCGTGACGTGCATGCTGCCGTGACTCTTGGGAAGTACCGGGGCGCCGTTTCGTGGCACATCCATCCAGGCAAAAACAGGTCTCGTGGATGTGCCGCGAAACGGCGCCCCGGTACTTCCCGAGAGTCACAGCAGCATGCACATTGCGACTTTGATTTTATAGCTGGGAAACGTACTGGTGGTTTAATCCCATCATCCCTGCCCTTTAATAATTCCTTAATAATCATTGCGTGGCCTTTCAACTTTCTCTGGGTACCACAAAATCGATCTAGGCTGATTTTTATCCTCATTGAACCCCTTAATTCATTCCGTCAATCCCTTTCTCTCTTCCCTTAATCACTTAAACCACCACTTTACCTGGCATTGGAAATTTGGGGGACCGGTAGCACAGGTTCATGAGGGCTACTGGTAGCACACTGTGGAGAACCAGCAGAGCGATGAAAATGGAAAAAAAATGCCACGAATTGCCGCCACGACTTCTTTCGTGGTTGAAACTTTTTTTTTTTTTTTTTTCCTGGAAAGACCACAACCAACTCTACAGACCCTCCAATTTTCAGATTTTTTTATGTATTCTTCTGAGTGTGAAAAATCGTTGAAATTGGGGTTTTTTTCCCGTTGGCCCACAAGTCGTAGAGTGGCAAATATGGAAAATGAGACGGATCGGCGCGGCATTTACTTCACCTCCTACATTTTTTTAATTTTAATTTTTAATATTTTTCCTGGAAAGATCAGGACCAAAACTACAGACCCTCAAATTTTCAGTGTTTTAAAGGTATTCTACTGAGCGCAAAAAATTGTGGAAGTTGGGGTACTTTATCTATTGGCCCACACGTTCTAGAGTGGCAAAAATGGAAAAGTGACGACTTGGCACGGCATTTATTTGATGGTCCAAAGGTTTTTTTTTCCATTTTTCTGATATGTTTCCTGGGAAGGTCACGAGTCACGACCTAATCTACAGGATCTCAAATTTTCAGACTTTTTTCTTAATTCTTTTGAGCTCGAAAAATCGCCGAAGTTGGTGCTTGAAAATTGTGGGACTGGACACACCCGCTCCTGCCGGCCGCCGCCCCCTCCTAAGAACCCGCTCCCAATTCACCGGAATGACATATTTGGGTGTCGGGTAGAGTGGCGGTTTAATCCATCCTCCTTCATCCCGTAATCCTTGCCCTTAATAATACCTTAAGTATTGCCCTGCCTTGGGTACCACCATATCAATCCAGGTCGATTCCTTATCCTCAATTATATCCCCTAAATCCTTGCTGCCCTTTTGTTTGCTATTCTTCTCTCTTTTGCCACATGGTAGCATTCGCTTAGTGGACACGAACTCAATTCTTTTTTTTTCTTTCTTTGACACGAAATCAATTCGATGAACTTCGCAAGTTTGAAATTTTGAATTTCTGCACCAAAAGAAACCAGCAAGGAGAGCCTGCCCTGTGCCGAAGTGGTCATCGCAAATCATCAGGCAGTGGCTGCCTGTGGCTGAATGGTAGAGAGAGAGAGAGAGAGAGAGAGAGAGAGAGAGAGAGAGAGAGAGAGAGAGAGAGAGAGAGAAGAAAGAAAGACGAAAGAAGAAGAGGAGAAAAAAGAGGGGAAACGTCAGAGGAAGTATGGAAAAAGGAAGAAGGAATACAGAAAGAACTTACTACATTAATCAGGATTTAAGGCTTTTTTTAGCCCATGATCTGTTTATTAACAGTTACATGTGTTTATCAACAGCCCATGACCATTATCTTGATTTGAGTCCAGCCTGCCACCTGCCTTGTGGAGCTGAATGGTAGACACATGTAACTGGTTATAAACAGGTCATGGGTAACAGGTTATGGGCTCAAATCCTGATTGGTATAATAAGTTTTAAGGAGATTGCCCCCAATGGAGGAGGATGAGGAAGGAATCGAACTATGGTGGCTGGGTTATGGAGAATGTGATCCATTTGGATTCTGGATCTTTGAGCATGGGGATATGTCGAACTGATCAGGACACACATGGTGATGATCGTATGTGGTGGGAACATTTCTTTGCAGAGATTCACGCAGGGAGTCAATCATCACGGTGGACGACCGTGGTGGTACGGTCTCGCTGTAGTTGGAGTCGGCTTCTTCCCTTGGTGTCTGTGGATTCCCTCTGCCATTTCAAGAGCAATTCTTAGTGCACGAGCAAGGACAATGTGGCAAGCATCTGTTCGCTCGTCTCGCTTGCCGTTATTCGCTACCATTTGGTATTCCTGTGTATACACCTTCTTCACATTATCTTCCTCCAAGGTAGATGATGTTTACTCCATGCATTCACAGCTGCAACCTTCCTCTATTCTGCAATTAGTGTCAAGAAAAAAACTCTTCACTCAGAAGAACAGCAGACTTGCAAACTGGCTACTCACCAAGGCTGAGTGACTTCTGAACTTTCGCCAGTGTTTGTGTGTGTGTGTGTGTGTGTGTGTGTGTGTGTGTGTGTGTGTGTGTGTGTGTGTGTGTGTGTGTGCACGACACTGCTTGTGTTTGTGTGTGTGCGCATGTGTGTGTGTGTGTGTGTGTGTGTGTGTGTGTGTGTGTGTGTGTGTGAGAGAGAGAGAGAGGGAGAGAGAATCTTGGTGCTTTTGAGCTCTTTGTGTTTGTGTGTGCGCGTGTGTCTCCGTGTGTGTGTGTGTGTGTGTGTGTGTGTGTGTGTGTGTGTGTGTGTGTGTGTGTGTGTGTGTGTGTGNAGTATCCAGAGTAGATCCTCATGAGTATTAAAGAGTGTGTATGCATCATAGGAGGAAGGGATTGAGGCTGAGAGTGTTCATTCAAGGTTTGGCTATGGAAGATACTTACCTGAGTTGGATGTGACCTGCAGAGGTGGCGCTGATGAGTAGTGACCACATTGATGACTTGGAGACTATCTGCAGGGGTAGCACTGATTCACTGGAAGTCATATTGATGAGTTGGCAAGATATTGGTGTTGTGCTGATGAGCGCTGGACTCAGGGGAACTTTGAAACACTTTGTATTCATATTTCTGATATTATAAGCTGTGAAACTCGGTGCTCATCTTCTCTGTCTTTGTCTATTGTGAGACTACTGTTCATTGTGTGTGGGAGTACGATGCATGGCATGTACACACTTGCGTGAGATGGTCCCCAGGACCCATGCAATGCCCTCAGTGAGGGCGTTATGGCAGGGGTGTCAGGTCCCACGGAAGAAGGAAAAGGCAAAAAAAAAAAGAAAGTTATGAAACTGAACTTGGGGCGAGAAAGCGGGTTCATACATTCTGCAAAGTAGTACTGTGGGCATGCCCTCCTCCAAAAAATGTCAGCAGCCCATGGACTACGCCATGCCTCCCTGGCAGGGCACCAAAACAAAAAAAATGGGGGTGTTGATGTTTTTTTTTTTTCTTTTGTGGGGTGCCGACGACCCCCGACCGGCAGGTGCTGACCAGCCGACCGGTGGGCTGGTCGGCATCCGACCAGTCAGGGCCGCCGACCGTCAGGGTGTGCAACACTGATTTTGTGAAAAAATTTGCGGTCTTTGGTCTGTTTGTTCAACTTCGTTGAGATTTCCGAGTCTGAGTCCATCTTGCTGTGTTTTCGTGTGTCTGTGTGCCCTCCGCTCCTGATGATAGGAGTATGGTTGTGTGCTTGCCTGCCTCTAAGTCTATGTCCCTGCACTTAGGGACAGAGACTTAGGAGAGGTTTCCGTCTCTATAATTCGATGCTTTCTAGTCCTAAGCCGATGACCGCGTCCCGTCATATTTACCCAATAAGCGTCCTTATCACACAGCCAGTTCCCGAAGGGTGATCGCGGTGCGATGCACGCCATATATACCACAGGACATGGGTCCCATTGTGATGCTTGAACCTGATCCCTTCCCTTAGAAATTAGATAGTACCCTGCCGTACCCCCCTTAAGATGATTGCATGTCATGAAGTTCCCAGAGTGTGTCCACATTTCGGATCCCTGAGAAGACCCAGACTGTTTGCAACAACTTCCCTTGAATCTCGCTCCGAAGTGCGTAGGTGTTTTTTCCTTTTTCTTTTGTGTGTAGTTTGTACGATTTCTCGAATGGTGTGTCATCCTCGTGCAGGGGTCATGGTAATCTTCTCCCAAAGGACTCTCTGAAAATTTGAAAACACATTTGGAACGGCCCATTTTGTGTAATCTTTTTGTCTTTCCGCCGTTTCCGGTGCTTTTCTTGTGCCTTTTTCCATCTCTCCCTTTATCCATTGAGCAGACAGCCTACATTGGCCGAGCAATAAAGGAGGGGGGCTTGCATGTATGCGGCTCATTGATCTTTGCTGCTGCAGCAGGGCTGTTACTGTTACGTTCATACTTGCGGCTTGGGCAACTTCAAGCTCGTAGCCAGGTCCTTCTTCAATCCTGGAAGCAGCAGCTATGGCAGCTATGGAAGTTATCAAGGAAGAAGACAAGGCATGATAGAGTGATGGGGTCAGCTGCAAAGCAAATTCTCTCTGACAACATTGACGTCAACGATATGCAGCAAAAGCCATACTCAACTGTGCCGCCCGCGTGGCTTGTACATGCATTGGCAATGGTTGCTTTCCTCTTGCTGTTTTTCACTCCTGTCTACAAGGCTGCCGATTCCGTCCGACAGCGGCCATTGCGCGAATTAGCAATATCTGCAAGAGCGATACAGGTGATTTTAACCTCCCTGTGCTTAAACTTTAAACACACTTTCTGAACAGCAGCATACTTGCTTGTGGTAAGGTTGTGCATGTTAGGGTGTCAAAGGACTAGGTGGGGTCTGTCTCTTATACACATCTAGATGTGTATAAGAGACAGGTGTGTGTGTGTGTGTATCTTATTTGGATGTGACCTTGGTGCATTTGAGCTCTCTGCTTGTTACATGACTATCTGGACTTCTGCGTGATTTTGCAACTTGGGTTTCTGTTTATCGCTCTCGCTCATGTTCCTTGCATTTCTGTGTATGTGTAAAATAATGAAAGACGTGCTCTTGCACATTGTGTGTGTGGGGTTGGGTGTGCGTGTGGGTGTAGTATGTCTGTGTGTGCAAGCGTGGAAGCGTGTTTCCTTGGTATCGTCCTGGGTGCTTCTGTTTGCATCTCTGTGTTTACCCCTCTATCTGTGTCGATTTCCACATTTCTGTCAATTTCCACATCTCTGTCAATACTTCTTGGACATCTGTTCTTTTATCTGCATTTCGGTGAATAATACTGAATATTCTTATCCTGTGTACATTACTGTGCATGTATGTGCATTTATCATTTATGTATTATTATCTATCCCCTCTTTTTTGTGGCGGTGTCTCTATATCCGTGCAATTGATAGGTATTTGTTTGTTGAATTCTGCATTGCTATCTGTGAGGAGTTGCGTTCGTATTTGTTTGTGTGTTTTCTAACCCCTCCCCGAATTCTCTCTCCCATTCCGTCCACAATTCATTCATCATAAACCATCTGCTGGACAAAAAACAGTATAGGCGGGCAATGTAATAGAAGGTGCAAAGTGCCCACCCACCCGTGTGTGTGTGTGTGTGTGTGTGTGCTGAAATGTGTTCTTTTGAATCATTTCTGCATAACGGTGGGGCGTGTCTAACAATTGTTTGTTAGTATGGTTACTTTTGAGTGTTTTCACCTATGTTTCATGTGTGTGGCTGGGTGTGTGTGTATGTGTGCTCCCTTTGCGCAGCTTCCGTCATATTACCTGCCGCTGGCCCCAGCGATTGCCATGCTGGCGTCTTCACAGCTCATATCCGAGTATAAATTTAATGTGTCAAGGAGCTCCACATCTAATCTGCTTTCCATCGGCGGGGCCATTTTGCCAGGGTTGTTGTATTTTGCCATTTCTGGAGCATTCTTCACTCTTCCATCCCTTCTGGAGAATTCTGGTGATCTTCCGGTGAGTCAAAAGCGCTTTTCGTTTTTCTTCGCTTTTCGTTCCGTTTTCTTTCAAATTCTGTCTTTCCGCATACACAAAACTGATGACAGCACTGATTGCCCCTCTTATGAGAGTGATTAAGTGTGATGACACTGTGATTCCCAACAAATTCCTTCC